ACTGACAAGTTAGCAAAAACAAGGATATTCCGTAATAAGAAATTCTACTTCACGTGGCTATCTCTTTCATTGGTTTAGCAAAACCATATTTCTCTACGATGTAAGAGATTAAAATGAAATATCAATGCCTTTCCAAAACAAAAACGGAAAACCAAACAAAATCCAAAGGATAAGACTAGAGATAGAGAGATACCTGAGAAGATATTGTCCTGTCTTTTTCTGAAATGCAGTAGACTTGAAGTCACTAGCAAGCAAACCTTTTGTCAAACTAACCCTCGGGAGTTGTCATTTCCAACGTATAAAAGAAGAGAGAGAGAGAGTGGGGAGTTGAGTGTTTCTGCGGAGATAAAAGAGGTTACTAGATAAGAGCAGTTAGCAGTAACCAACTCCTTGTTCGGAGGAATTAAGGAACAAAAACAGCACATACGTGGTAACTACTTACCACCTGTAGGGTTTCCCTTTGTCTACAAACCGTTACGAATCCTTGTGCATGGTGCCCTGGCGGCAGTCTTTTATTTCGTAACGTTCTCCTCCCTTAGCCCTTTCATTGTTTTAATCTTTACGTTAGGGTGTTACCCCTTTTTTTTCTCAATAAAATGACTTAAAAAATATAGGATATAAACATTTAAAATTTTTAACTTCTATGTATACTCTATGTAAAGTTCTTGATTGAGTCTAACGTCACAACTCATATGATACTATATCGCTATATATTTGGTGTCACTAGTTGATAAAATTATCTAAATAAATCACATAAAGTTGTTATAATAAATATAAAATTAGAGACATATATATGTCTTTTTGCTTTTTCTTTTATAATTTTTTTGGTTCCATATGGGTAGGAAAAGAACTACTTACTATGAAAAAAAGAAACTACTCACTCTTTTTTTTTTTTTTTTCTAAAACACAACTTCTCTGTTTTAAAAAATAACAAAAATAAATATCATTTTTTTTAACCAAACCAAAGGTTTAGTTATTAAAGGTAAGATTTGGAGTTACCACTAGGCTTTTATATCAGAACCAAGAATCGGTTATATAGGCATCACGGTCACAAGTCTTGTCGACATTAAAAGAAGATAGTTCAAAGACTTGGGTACAAAGTAAAGTTGGAATCAAGACTTTCAACTCCCTTTAGAATAAACCTAGGCTTTACAATTCTACTTTGGATCAACTTGATTAGGAATCAAAATCAAAGAATACGCTTCTCCTTTGCTCAGTATCTCATGGAATCATAAACAATTAACATCCTATGTTGTCTTGGTGTATTGATAACCTTGAATGGTTTAGTGATCATTTGCATAATGTAAATGTATTAAATATAGAATAATGAAATATGTTATGAAAGTAATTACATAATAGTTAAAAAGATTGAACATCTTAATTAATAAACAAATAAATTTTACATGCAAATGTTTCTAAAATGACATGACATATCAAATGATGAAATATTTTTAAAATTACATGACATGTTAATAACAAAAACACTTTCAGAAAACTACACGATATGTTAAATGGTGAAAATACTCTTAAATCTAAATGACATATTAACTCCATGGCACCATAAAATAAAACCCTTAAAACTACAATATATAACATGGTAAAAGCATCATTGAAGCTATTAGCATTATAAAAACATTGCATACTTTACTATGACATATATACTCAGTGACATTACACTATAACTATCATGACATATTTTATGAAAATTCTAACACCATTTATGTTATGGGTTTAAGTATTGATATGAGAAACTCGCTTAGATTAAAAATGGATTTGACGAAGATTGAGGATGTTAACTATTTGTATTTATGAAGTTCTGATAAATAATATGATTGAGGTATTGATACTTAAAAAATAAGGAATACTTTAATCATAGCTAACATCAAAATTATGGTAGGTTCCAAAAAAAAAAAATATCAAAATTATGATCTAAAATCTTAAAACCTCATACCTGTCTCCGTACAAGGTGTAAAGGGCTTTTGTCTTTTTTATGTACCCTGGGCTGACGTTTTGTCTTCTTCTTCGATGAAAAATCTTTTGCTTGCAGGCATGAATGGCACCACAGGAAAGTTGCAGGTAGTGGACACAATGCAAGAGAGAAGTGAGGAGAGTTAAATTGACATTGAAGGAGCCATGCCCTTTGCTAATGTCATTCGCCACACGCCCTTTTTCTTCTTTGTCAATACAACTAACTATAAATCGTCTTTCGTAATCATTCCTCCAAGACTCGGATTAGGACGACGCATTTGTTCTTGTTCTGGGTCTCTTCCTTCTGCCCCAAAATCCAATGTCCCGCTCTCGCCGTCTCAGCAAACTTTCAATGGGGGCAAAGTGACGGAATTGAAGAAAAAAGTGGAACTTCTTGGGATTCAAGGTCACGATTCTTGTCTTCCTGGACAATACAACTATTTATTCTGCCCCAAGGTTGTCTACACTCTTTTTCCTTCAGTTCTTTTTGGTCTTTTTTTTTTTCCTTTCTTGAATGGAAATACTAAAGATTTTGCTACGATTTTGGGAGCATAGTGCAGAGGTGGCAAGTCAATGGGTAGGACTTTATCTCTTCATATTATTGAAAA